CGTTAGAACTGTCAGTACGTGGAGTAATTAACAATAATTACAGTAATATTTGTGGGTTGTTTCCTTGTTAGACTTGTACTTTTTGAACAGGAGAGTATTCTGTAATTTGGTTTCTTGCAGTTTAGAAAGTAGAGAACAAGTCTGAGGAATGAAAAGAGGTTTTCTACTTAACATGCTATCGAAACGCTGTGCTTGAAAAGATGAGGGGCAGCTTAGTGCAGGAACTGACAGATGATTGTGAACATGAACAGTTGCGGATGTTTCAAGAAAATTTTACCATCTGCCGATTGTACAGCCTCTGTGAACAAACAAAGAATTTTTTTGGGTAACAATTTTAATATTCTTCACATGAAAAGATGAATTTCATTGGGTATTTTAGGCAGACACCTGAAGTGGTGATCGTTCAACATTTCCCTAGAGTCTTTAATTGACTTGATGAAGAATCTTTTAAACTTCCAGTAGGTGGAGTAATTGATTAAGATTACAGTAACATTTCGACGGGGTAAGTCGGCAATCGCATATCTTGGTTGCGGTGTCTGAAAATCTCCACCTCTACGCATTTTTTTGAAGGAGGACAAATTGACATCATTCCTTGAAGTTTTTGCAAAATTTTCTTCGCACAGAGAAGAAAACGGTAGTTTTAAAAAATTACCGTTGAGTAGTTTTCCATTTAAGAAATAAAGTATGGCAGTAAGTCTGCAACGTCGCAACCGAGTTATGTGATTGTCGACTTACACCGTCGATTTATGAGTTGTTTCCTTGTTGGACTTTGACATTTTGAACAGGAGTGTATCCTGTAATTTTGTTTCTTGCAGTTTAGAAAATAAAGAAAAAGTCTGAGGAACTAAAAGAGGTTTTCTACTTACACAGTAACGAAACGCAGTCCTGCAGTCCAAAGCTGGAGAGCGTTGGGATCAGTGTGGAAAAATAGCATTTTCTCACACTAAAATCGAGAAATTAGAGAACCAAAATTGAACACATTTTAACTGTGAACGCACACGAAAGAAGTGACGCTAGAGATTAGAACTAATACTCCGCATCAATGACTTTTCTCCTTTGCATTTCTCACTTACTGATCACAAAAAAACTGTTACAACTCCACACTACAGGACCCAGTTTATTCCGGATCTAAGAATAAAACCGAGCTGAATTATGTGCGTGTGCTCTGTATCACGCTCGACATTCTAATAGAACATCTTAAACATAAAATGTTACTATAATTGAATAAAGCATAAAGAAATCGAGGAAATAATAATTTAACCAACGGTGCTTACCCGAAAAGACCGTTGTTAACTAAACTCGCCCTAACCTCCACATCCAATATTTTTTCTTATCGCTGGATGGTATTTCATCCTCCGGTAAAATTATTTTCTGCGGAGATGTTATTTTTGCTATCTAAAATTCATCTCTCTCTACTGACTGTTTCTCTCTATCTGCCATTTTTTCCTCTCCATATTGTAAGATGGTCATTGGTCTCCTACGAATTTTTATGAAGTTTGATGTTTTGATTGCTTTTTTAATTATTCCCATTAATCAGCAGGATCTCTCTCCCCATTATATGTATAAACAGTGTAGCTTTTTCGGGGGGCCTTCGGTCCCTTTTTGAATGTAGGCATAAAATGTTAAATGTTTAAAAATTAAAACTTTAAATCAAACAGAATACGCACTTGCCATAGTAAATAAAGAAAATAATGTAGAAAGTACTCTTCCCCCTCCCAATCCTCAACTTCCTCCCTCTCTCCTCCCCCATGATTAGTGGTCGGAACACTCGTGACGATTAGTGCCTTGAACGGGAGGCGATATGGCAACACTGCATGAGGCACTCTTGCGCTCCTAGCGCATCCTAGTGGCGCACATGAGAGGCGCGCGCTGGTCTACGGGCTGCGCGGTAGTGTTCCTTCCTCAGTCTTTCTCCTGTGGATAAGTTCGACAGTTAGTTCGACACATTCACCCCGCGTAGACACGCCTTTTTCAATTTTTTCAATGGTTGTCAACAGAAGCGGGGCAACGTACCCTAGCGCACTGGTCAGCGATTGATTCTCTCAAAACTATTTGCGTTGAAAAGTCGGAGAATAAACCTTCAAAATCTTACAGAAGAGTATTTAATTTGAGAGCGAGTTGAAATTCTGTCTAATAAGAAAACCTCAATATGAGAAATAATCACTAAAAGTTAGCTGAAAGTCAAAACGGTTTCTGGGCAATATTGCAAAAGTTGCCTGTCAGGGAAGCTAAGCTCTGATTGGTTATCACTGTAAGCCACTTGCTTAAGCGCTAGGTTTGAAATTATTACGATTTCTTTTGACTTGCGACAGAGCACAGGGGAGAATTTCATGAGCCGCCTTGCGCATGGCGCTCGACCTGCCTCTCATTATTACACTTCATCTAGCGCTGAGAGTTCACTTTTTACCGCACACGACCGGTGTATAATTTTAAAAGTCGAAAATTACAAAAAAAAAAAAAAAAAAAAAAAAAAAAAAACAATCAATTACACGATAAATGAGTTTCTCTGTCAGGGAAATCCCCCCGCAAGAAATCGTTCACCACCCGCTGCTAGTGTGAAACGGGTACTGACGCCTACAAACCTATAGGGCTACTTTTCGCATTGCGCAATGCTTGAAGTATCCCTCTAGGTTTGTAGGCGTCATTGCGCGTTTCGAGCTGGCAGCGGCAAGCACGCCGCGCCGCAGCAGCGTGCCTCAAACTTGCCTACAATTAATAGGTACTTACGGGTGTTAAAATATTGGCAATTTGACATCAATTTCATTAGCGACTCAGAAAAACATCAGTTAAGAAAATTTCGTGATCTTTCAGTCATTATCCGACTTGTCTCTTCCTATTCTTGAGTTTTGGACCATAGCGCGCTCATGAAATTATCCCCTGTGCTCAATTGCTTTAACTTGTGTGCGGCTCTTGGAGTGGAGATCAATACCTACATTGAAATGTACAAACTCACGTATCTCCATTGCGGTGTTTCAAAATTTATGCCCCTACTTTTTTTTTTTTCTCGAGGGGAGACAAGCCAACTCAATAGCTTGAACTTTCCTCAGAATGTACTGATAACAGCGAAGAAAAATCAAGGAATTTATTTTCGAGGAATAACGTTGATTATTTTCTAAGGAGACAAGAAAGTATGATAATAAGTCTGCAACGTCTCAAACGAAGGTACAAGGTTTCGCACTTTATCCATAGGTATTGTTTTTTAATCTGATATAAAAAAAAAAAAAAAAAAAAAAAAAAAAAAAATTAAAATATAATTTTCGTAAACTTAGGGGGAAGGGGAGCCGACAACCCCCGAACGTGGCAGAGTCTGGAAAGGGGGCGCGAAGTCTAGAATGATGAGACGGGGGTGCAGGGATCCCTCGAATTAATTTGTAAATTGAATACGTACCTAGAACGTAATTGGTTGTTTTTATGTAACATAACGATGGCTAAAGTGCGACACCACGCATCTTTATTGCAATGACTCAAAATTTCCGCTCCCAATTTATTGTTTCTAGGAGGAATAAGTCCACTTTATAGCTTGAAATTTATAAACAAATAGTCTTCTTACAATAAAAGAGCGGAAAAACACGGAAATTTTACAGAAATTACGTCGACTGGTTTTCCAAGGAAAAAAATAAAGTATATATCTCTAGAAGTCTGCATCGTCGCAAACGGAAACACGTGGTCTCGCACTTTTGCCATGGATATAATCGTTTTTACCTTATTTCCGAAAATAAACATAAATGACAAATAATAGAAAATTAGGAGGGAAGGGGGGCCGCCAACCCCCATCGCCAGCCTTAATGACCACTAAGTTGTAAAGTGCAAAAATTACGTTTTCCTTTACACTTTACTAACAGGCGGATGGTTCAAATGGCGTAATCCGCTTGTATGTACCTGAGCCGCAAAATGTCATTGAGAAATCTCACTTAATTAATTCCTGGTAGTTTCGCGTTTCGCTTGCGATGATAGTTCTGTCGTCATCTTTCTGTGATTCATATTTCCCTCCTCTTACCTCTCGCCCCCTCCATTCGGCGCCACGCAATGTTTTGACTCACTCCCCCGCCGACACTGCATCCTTCTGTTATCATATCACGCAAGAGCGCAAGAGCATCTCCTTATCATAGAGTACAATAGAGTCGCAAAGTACTGGAGCGGCGATGAAGCCAATCCATGAACAGGCGTTTCCGAGCCGCGTGTGCTCCGAAAATAGTGAACCATTTGTGAACCCAACGGCATTTTGTAACACGGCGGCTTATGGAGAAATCAAGAACTGCTTGTGGTTTTTAGGTATTTTAAAATTCAATCAGCATTAATTTTTGCAAATTTTGCTATTTAAAGGTAGTCAAAGCCATAATGAATCCATTGATGTATATTACTCCTGGATAATATTCATATTGGGATTTAATTTCTGACTTATACCAAGTGTGAACCAACCGGCATTTCTTATCACGGCGGCTTACGGGAAAAGCAACGACTGCCCGTGTTTTTTCGACATTTTTTAATTTCATCGATATTAATTTGTGCAAATTTTGCTACAGTTAGATAGTCATAGTCATAATGAATCCATTGATGTATATTACTCCTGGATAAAATTCATATAGGAATTTAATTTCTGACTTATACCAAGTGTGAACCAACCGGCATTTTTTTACACGGTGGCTTATGGAGAAATCAACGACTGCTTGTGTTTTTTCGACTTTTTTTAATTCCATCGGTATTAATTTGTGCAAATTTTGCTTGAAATAGATATTCAAAGCCATAATGAATCCATTAATGTATGTTACTCCGAGATAATATTCATATATGGACTCAATTTCAGACTTATTACCGGCCTACTTATTTTAGCTGGTTCAGTGTGTGTCTAGCCGACGAACGGAGCCGAGTCGGGACTGTCGGGAGTGGGGAGTGCTGAGCGCGAGTCTCTGCGTATGCGTCATCGCTAGTCGCCGCACACTAGTCTACGGAGAACTGGACAAAACAGCCTCGAAAAGTGACTTCATCGGCGATCCAGTACTTTGCGACTCTATTGTACTCTATGCTCCTCATCTACCTAGTTTAGCGGCCCTTGAGGTATCTTGTGAGTTTTTTTTTTTATCATTTCCTACTCTTCTTTTTTTACGTTGCATTAACCACCGAGAGGTATCTAAATCACTAACTTCTGAGCGCAAGACTCATTGCAGTAACTCAAGTCTATTGGTAAGCACTCTACCTAACCTTTTCATTGTCCCTTTTGGTCCCTTTCTCTTTTTATTGTATACCAATTTGAAGTTTTTGCTGATATCTTATTTCCCATATTGTAAGCACATGTTTCATTGAATACTCAAATGGTGTGGGCAGTAATGTACCTTATACCAATTAAATAAAAATACTTACTTCACGCTCTTGCTCTGCTTCTACCAATCCTATCCTCCTGTGACCCCCGGTCAAGCATGAAACCTCTTGTGGAGCCGAATTTTCTTACATTCCGGTCGTAATCTTGCCTTTTCGATTGTGAAATGTTTCATTTGAAACCTCTGAAATTTAATTGTCTTATCTTGTCCTTAATCTTGCGCAACGGGACATTCTTAATTGGGCACACACTCCAAATCTGGACTACGCCTGTCTATTGCGTTTCTGTAAAGTCTTGTTATCATCCTAACATTGTTTATCTCACTCATGATATTTTATCAAGAGTGGCGGTAGCCACCCCCGGTCGAGGAAAATGACGTCCTACTAAAGTCCCGATAACAAACGGGTGGCCGACACTCTTAGTCACAGGCAACTCCCTTAATCTGAAAATTGATTCGATATAAAATGGAATTCAGAGCAAACGGCGGCACGGATTCCAACGATCTTGGTGTCTATGGACGCAGCTAAGTTAGCCGGATGGCGTATAAGGGTTTCATTAAGATCCATTGAGTTTTCAAAAAGTTATAAGCACTTAATGACCCAAAAC